TAAAGAGGAAATATTTTTTAAAACGTCCTATTATTTGTATTCGCACCTTAATGGATCTGTCAAAAGTCGTGAAGATATTTGAAGATGTAATAGACCCTAATCTCTCAGAATCCTGGGACAATACTGGGTTGCTGATCGAGCCATCAAAAGAAAAACTAGTAAGTGTGATTTATGGCACAAATAAAAGGAAGATATTTTCTGATTATCCTCACCATTGCTTGGTTTCAACTTTTCAGCAGCATTACCTTATATTCGATTATATACGCGACAGTAGCCAACCCCTTGCATTCGCACATTGCTCATGAACTTTGTGCACGTGGATCTACTCACTGTATCATTCATTTCTCTGATAAGTGTTTTTAAAATGTTTCAAAAGTTGTAAATAACGGCCATATTTTTGTTCTTGTGTTACTCAAAATTTGTGTCTCAAAAAAAAAAGTGCCTTTTTTTTAGACTAACATACGATTTTCGCTAAATCGCCAATGAAACATGCTACCCATGATGAATTGAATAAAAATATGAGGGATATGCTGCCAGTGAAAAATATAATGCTCCATATATAGGAAATCATTAAGAAATATTGTAAAATAAGATAGATAACACTGAAAATTTTCAAATGATGTTTATAGTTATTTTACAGGAAATGCGGGTCTCCTTTTACTTTGCTGTTGTATCCATTATCTTCTGCTACTAAAAAGAGCAATTTAAAAAAATAACAATAATTGCTGTATTTTGCAATGACCAGTTTTCTAATAAACCAAAATTGGGGAAAGTGCAGAATCACCCACTGCTTGGCGTGTTTATAAGAATTGCACGTACTCGGTATCCATGTACACGTCGACCTATTTTCACATAAAAAAAAACATCCCAGAATTGCACCAAAATGGCATTGCACACATTCTTGACTATCCATGTACACATCAATCTACTTTCACTTAAAAAGTCAAAGAAAATTGTAAAAAGCGCCAAACAAATAAGTGAGCGATTCTGCACTTTAGCCCCAAAATTGTATTAAACATGAAAAATACATGTTTTATAAATTTAATAATTTTACTTTATCCTTTCTTTTATAAATTTACCAAATTTTGTTAAAGTATGTGTCTTAAAAACCAAGCAGGAAATGTGATAGCTTGATTAAAAAGAAAACTATAGCTCTTGCACAGTTTTGAGTTTATATCCTCCAGTTACTCAACTTTGATAAATGTTACGTTTATTAACATTGCACTTTTCAGAAAGTCTTTAGTGACTTTCTGAAAAGACGATGGAACATGAATTATAAACTTCAGTGTAATGCTAAACAAATCAGTGACTGGTGTGTTTTTCTTTTACTGTATTTTATTTTACTTAAGATGGGTCAAATAGCTCTATTCTACACATGAATGTTTTTAAAAAAGAAATATATCTTACTTATAAATGGCAGTAAATAATAGATACCTTATTGGTTTTGTGGAAAAACTTATCAAAAAAATTAACACCTAAGATGCTGCAATTATATCTCAAAAAGTAACTGTTACTGATGTAAAAATCAAATAGATCTAAATCGTTTGCAACCTTTCTTTGCTATTTTACCCCATGCATCAATTCTGTTTTCAAAAGATTATTGTTATAATCCCAACACCATTAATTTAGAAATTATTCAGAACTGAAAAATCAGGCACCACAACATAGATATTTCAGTTGTGTATCCCGATCAACAATGAAGATTGAAACATTGAAGCTCAGTACATCAGTTCATCATCTAAAGAATTATCAGTAAGAATTGCCAAGCATTAAAAAATAGGTAAAAGTATATTTACAGGTATCCCTTGGTGAAAATTGGCGATTTTTGGCAGAACATGGATACCGAGTTTGTGCATGACTTGTTATTTGGTCTTTGTGTAGCGCCGATTTTAAAAATTAACACAAAGACCAAATAACAAGTCAAAGAATTGCATAAACTCAGTATCCATGTACACATTGACCTGTTTTCACTTAAAAAACATTGCAGAATTGCACAAACTAGGCATTGCACACTCCCTTGACTTTATCCATATACACGTCGACCTATTTTTCACTTAAACATCAAAGAATTGCGCACTCCCTTGACTTTGTCCATGTACACATCGATATAGTTTCACTTAAAAAGTTAAACATCCAATTCTAGGTTAAAGTGTATTTACGAAACATTCAACGATTAGAGTAGACTTTAAGGTACCCCCTTGTATTATTATGGTGAAGTTGTTTCATTTATGGTAGCATGAGTAGTTGAATGTTATGGAAACCCTATTGTGACGTAATCGGGTGCATGATTCTGGGAAATTTTGAATCATGGGATGTTTTGTAAGTACTTTTGAGTTGTGTGTGTTGGTTTTATTATTTAGACAGTAGAATGGCTGAATGAAGTAAGATTAATTTCAAGTTTCTGTACGATTTGGAACAAAAGGGAAAAGAGCATTAATTGACTGGTGTGTAAATGAAGGTTTGCACAGTAACCATTATAAGTGTCCTGTATGTAGGAAGGATATGTGTTTAGTCGAACGTAAAAACCGTTTAGATGACGCCGATATACGGATTCGAGTTCAGATAATTTTAGGGAGTTTTTGGATGCTGTTAAGGGATTTTGTGTGCCACAGACTAAAGAGAAAGGAACTTCGAAATAGGGGAAGCGGGTATTTGCTTTTTGTAGTGCTAAAATTTATAACATGTTTTTCCTTTTTTATGTTATTTTATTGTTTGGTTTAAAATGTAGTTTATTGAGATTATGTATTTTTTGGTTGCCTCTATTGTAGAATTGTGTGCTCCTTTGACTTATTAAGTGAAAATATATCGATGTGTACATGGACAAAGTGAAGGGAGTGCGCAATGCAAGTTTGGGCAATTCTTAAATTTTTTTTTAAGTGAAAATAGGTTGATGTGTACATGGATAAAGTCAAGGAAGTGCACAATGCCATTTTTGTGCAATTCGGGGATTTTTTTTAAAGTAAAAATAGGTCAATCTGTACATGGATACCGAGTTTGTGCAATTTTGTCTTGTTATTTTGAATTTGTGTAGTGGCGAATTTTGCGTCAAACATTACCATTATGCAAGCTATAATAATAAGTGAAAGAATTGCACAAACTGGTTATCCATGTACCGCCAAAAATCGCCAAGGGGTACCCTAAAATATACTTTTACCCATTCAACTACTCAGATTACCATAAATGAAACAACAACTTCACAATAAATGAAACAACAAGTTGGTGATAAATGAAACAAGAACGAGGCAATAAATGAAACACGACTTTGTGATAATACAAGGGGTACCCTTCAGTCCACTGTATCCAAAAAATATTTACAAATTCTCTGCTAATTAGTAAGTCAACAAAAACAGCATAATGTTGGTTAAATACACCTTACAGCATCGAAACTTAGAAACTGAATGTGTTAACTCTTTCGCATCAAGAGAGGGCAGAATCTTTTTTCCCCGAACAAAAAATGCCCGTGTCTAAGAATTTCTCCTGGAATGATTTTCCTTCCCCCATGACAAATTGAATACTACAGCGCTAACAATAACCTACTTAAATAAAGTGAGAACTTCTTTCTTGGACACTTTCATCCTGTGTGAATTTCACCCTTGGGACGGGATTGCAACTTCGGGCATCAAAAGCTAAACACTGACAGTAAACAAAGGAAAGAGAAGGTGCATTAAAATAATAGAACTACTTTTAGTAGCTTCAAAAGAATGATTTACATATGATTTAACAACACCTGAAAGCAATGAGTAATGCAGTAACTTGATAGGGAAAAGCACTAAGTAGGAAATTATTCAGGCGTTTCTGGCGTCCAGCCGATGTCTGAATGCTCAGATGTTTGAGGTGGCTTCGATGCGAAAGAATTAAAGCAAAAATCATTACCAACCCCTGCATCAAAATAACCTCCAAATCGGGGATACATTAGAAATTGCCACTAGACCATGTTGCAATAGAGACCTTCCTGTCAAATTACCATATATCGGCTGCTGATTTGGAGTACAGGAACTCTATTGTAAAGTAATAAAAGGGGAATCTTGATCGAGCAATTCATTCCAACTCCACCTGACAAAATAGATAGGTAATCTCTGAAAGCTGATACTTTTTTATATGTTTAAATGTGGTTTTTAGCATGTTAACCTAGAACATTTTTTTTTTTGCTCATTTTTAACAAATACATAGTTAAATTCAAATGCTTACAGAAATTTGCAACAATATTTATTGCAAAGACTATGTTGAATAGAATGTTATGTAACTTATTATTTGAGTGGCAATCTTTTTGCCCACCCCACCCAAAAAATAGTTGAATAAATTCATATTAATAATGTAATAAATAAGAAAAAGGAGATACAGTCATGTAATCATTGTGTGGAGGATTTCTCAAAATGATATATAATTCCTTTTTCTTAAAAAAATTACTTGCTTAGCTAATAACAAATAGAATATATCCATGAATAGTCTCTCATTATTTAGTATATTTGCCTAAATATAAAATGAGATTTTAAGAATTTTGCTGAGTGTAAATTTATGCGAGTTATTCAGCTTTACTAATCACAGGTATCTCTAGTTAGTGCTGTGTTAATACTTATAAAACTATTATAAGCTTAAAATGCTTATTAGTGTATATGTACTTGAATACATAAAATCCATTTTTAGACAATCAGATATTTAATTATAGTTTTCTATATACTGTATTTGACGGCATATAAGATGCACTTTTTTTCCCTAAATTTGGTCTCAAAAAAGTTACCTGTGTCTTATACGTGAAGGACACAGGTTAACTTTCAATACTGAATGCAATTTTTAGCCCAGATAAAGGTCTAGACACACATAACTTTTTCTACATCTACATGTGTGTGGCCTTCTAAATAAGGGTGTGTCTTATATGCAGTATATGTTTATAAATGAATGGCCAATAATGCATAAAAAACTCAGTTCTTATCAGTTTAACATTCAAAAGAAGCAAACTCAGTTTCTCCTGCTATGTATTTATACATTCAAACAGTGAAAAATCTTTTTTGTTAATTCCAGGTTTCTGTGATACTATTTACAAATGATTTGACAGATGCAGTTTTGAAAGAAGCAACATCAATAAAAGGTGATCTTGTAGTATCGTACCATCCTCCACTTTTCTCTGCTATCAAATCATTGAAAAGGACAAACTGGAAGGACCGTATTATTCTTCAATGCATAGAAAATTCAATTGCTGTATATTCTCCTCATACTGCATGTGATGCTGTAAAAGGGGGTGTTAATGATTGGTTAATCAACTGTTTCGGTGAGTTTTATTATATTTTCATTTTATAAATTCTCTGAAGCATATCTAATAGTAACTAATATTAAGTGCACGAAGAGTCCTGGAGGTACTTAAAAAAATTATGAAAAGATACAGGATGCTTATCACCTGTTCTGAGCTATCTGCAGCATTATTGAAAGCATTTATTAAAAAAGCTGACATTGTTGAAGCATCTTAATGAAGTGATGGCAAAGAAATTAAAGAACTATAATAAGATCTGATTTGCAACCATATCAGGAGGCAGAACTTGTTAAGAAACAGTTGTTTGTAGAAACAGGTACTGGTAGAAGGTAAGCCAATATGTCTATAGTACAATTCATGAATGAAGTAATGCTCTACCTATCTAACTAGTAAGCTTCTTCCCCAGTTTGGTATTCCAGGAGAAAATGTCCCAGAGAGTAATCCAAAAGTTTCCCATCCCTACCACCAACAGAGGACTTTCAGATTATCGTGTATTTTCAGTGCCCCTTGCCACACTGACACTATACATTTTCATATAACATGCCTTCTCTGGGATTGAAACGCGGACTGTTTGGTATGGCAATCAGCCTCATTAACGATTATCGCATCTGAGTGGTACTTTGTAGAAATAATAACATACGATGTTCTTAAGAATACTGAACTGTGGTTACTGGCTAATTGAATACCAGTTCAGTGCACCAGACACTAGCACTGATCATGGGATTTGATACCCTATCCTATAAAAGTTTACAATAAGATGCCCCTTGATATTTTTGCTGATTTTTATGACTCCCAGAATGATGGCAAGAAGCTGTGTTCCCAAGACAGCTGCCATCCAAAACAACACCGAAAATGTATGTTACAAGAACAACAAAAGTACTCACTGTGTGTGTTCTTGGCTATATCTCATCGTCAGTGTCAGATGACTGCTGCACATACATTATGCAAATCATGTAATCCCGGAATTGATCCTCTTTCTCCTGATTATGGTATTGGCAATGCCACATAAACTCTGCAAAATAGGAACATCATTCAGCAACTGCCTAAGACTGCTTGCGAAACTCATGCTTAATGTGGCTCCACGTGCCCTCAATAATGTTGGTCTGAGTGCCAGTTTAGAGCATCTTTCTCATGGGAAACCCACTCATAGTATCTAATTAGTCCTTATACTAGACTAGATGCATATCTGTTATACAAACTTCACATTCATACTGAGAACTAGGTAAACCTTCATTCATATACCAATCAGTCATAACTTAACCTTTCACTTTAAATCATGGAAAAAAAAATTGAGTATTTGTCTTACCAGACATACTTTTGTGGAGGTGAGGTACAGAGATTAATTAGAAACAGCCAGCTAATGAAAACTGAAGGTCAAATAATGACAATTAAAATTCCAACAATTTAAAATACTGTCAGAATTCTAAATCCATGATCAAGAGCTACATGATACACGTATTAAAAATCACGTAGCCCTCAATCACTAAACTAAGAAGTTCTAATGCAGAGATGGTAAAACTATAACCCGCGAATAGAATTTTAATTTGGCGCTGTCTGAAGCAAATTAAAAGAAATGTGTATTTATATATCCATCTCCTTTTCTACTTTGTTTAAATATTATTTTTTTTTCCTTTCTTTTTTCCAAAGGCCTGATGATCATTTCACTTTCTCTATTTTTGAACACTGGTAGTTCGGTCCGAGGTTCGAATCCCACGAACGGGCTAGCTGCATGGGCATTTTCGTGGTTTTCCCCATGTGTAACGTGTATACAAGCCAGTTTCCATTAGAAAGTCCTCCATGAAGGCATCCCTCCCCTTAGGCAGATAGCTCTCATGTGCTTTGCCATAATTAAATACACACTATTTTTGTTCTGCAAACCATAAATCGACAAAAATAGCAAGCACAGACAGCTTTCAATCGGTAAAGTGTTAAAAGTTCTTTGTTAGTTATAGCTGCAACTTGGCACCAACAAGCATTATCTCTTTCTCAGGGAGCAGACATGTGAGAATCCAATATAGATGAATTAGGTTTCACATGTGGCAGACTGTACGCTTTAAGCTCCAGCCAGTGGCTTTTCCTTTTATTGCAAGTTCTAATATTATTGATTGCATATGGAAAGATTGCGGACATATAGCATGTTATGGACAGCATCATTGTTAAAAGTGGTGAAATTAATTACAATTATAGTGTAGCTAGTGCTTGTTTGGGTTATTCGTAAAATATTTCAGCCCCAAAACGGCTACTGAAAAACGTAAAGTTGAATGCCGTGCTTTTAAACGTGAATGGACCTGGAAATATAAAAAGTTGTAAAAGCTAAACCAGTGTGTTTCATCTGCAATGAAACTGTAGCAGTCTTCAAAGAATATAACATTTCCCATCATTTCCCATCTAAGCATAAGAATTCCAATTATGAAGCAATGTCCAAATATGAAAGAAAACAAAATGCAGAAAGTCTTTGTAAAAAAATGTCAGACCGACAAAATGTTTTCAAGAAGGTAAACGGTATCCAAGAAGTAGCTACACATGCAAGGTACATTGTAGCATACAATATTGCTACAAATAATAAAGCTCTCAGTGGTGGAGAGTTCGTTAAACAATGCATGTTCCAGGTTTGTGATGTTTTATGTCCAGACATGAAAAATAATTTTGAGACTGTATGGTGAATTCTTGAATCGAACACATCGATAAAAATTTGACATCACAAATAGAATCAAAGATTGGCTAGTTTAAATTTTGCTCCATAGCAATGGATGAAAGCACTGATATAAATGATATTGCTCAATTAGTATTATTTATAAGAGGTGTTGATGAGAACTTTGAAATTACCGAGGAACTGGCGTGCATGCACTCTTTAAAAGGGATCTACAATGGGATGTGATATCTTTTGTGAATTTCAGGAAGAGCTTTTAACTTTGAAAGGGCCTAAAACAAATATATGTAATATCACAACCAATGGAGCACAAAATATGACAGGAAAAATTTGATTTCTTGAACTCATTAATCAAAACGGGTGTTTGTGCTCCGGGGAAACCCCAGAATTCTGGGGGATCGTCGTTCAAAAGGAAGTAGGAATAATAATGAATTATTTATTTTGATCTGGGTAATTTTGTTTGCTTTGAAAGCAGAAAACGCAAGGTCAGTGTGTGTGGTGAAAACTTTTCCTTTCTTTCTCCAAAGGCAGTGATAATGCGTGAAAAGGGGAAAAAACTTCTTTTTTGTTCTTTCCTTATTGCGAGTTATGACTCATTCCCCCGGTTCTCGGACATTCTCTTCTGGATTCTTTTCGGCAAGGAGGCGCGGCAGAAAAAAAATGGGAGAGACTTCGTTCGTTCGACCAGATGTGCGATCACGTGACTCTGGGTTCAAAGGTCTTATCTCTCCTGGCATGGTGCCAATAAGTAGAGAAGGGGGATTTTTTGCCGTATTAGCTATTTGTCATTGATCGCTTCTCAACTTTTTTTTCTCCGCTGTGTAAAATTTTCGTTTCATTTATTGATGCACGTGTAAATTTTTCGTTTCGTTTATTGAAATATTTTTTTATTTATGTACGCAAGAGAATTTCACTATGAAATTTCTCGATATAAATAGTGATATTATACAATTAGAAGAAGGTGTCCGGAATGCATTTAGGTGGAATTGGATTGAACGGAGAGATGGTAATGGGGATACCATCGGCACATGGTGCAAGAAAATAAATGTTGCTGGACAAGCATATTGTGTTTTTTGTAACTCACTGCTGAAGTATGGTGGGGAAGGATTCAAGGCTTTCACAAATCATTCTAAAACTGTGACGCACATAAATATTTCAAAGTGCATTAGACATTCAATGACTTTAAGTAATTATGCTAATTCAAAAAATACTGATGACTTACTGGAGACTGATGCTCGGCCATTGGATATAGTGACAAGAAAAGCACGCCAAGAGGTATTAATAACTTCGTTTATCGCCGAGAATTCTCTTTCTTTCAATGTAGCTCCCAATTTAATTGAACTCTGCAAACAGTTGAGCCGCGATCAGACGGCACTAAACTCGTTGGAAATGTCCAGGACTACTGCATGTTATAAGATGAAATATGGGCTCGCAAAAACTATTAAGGAAAATATCATTAAAACTTTAAAGGAGACTCCATTTTCTCTAAATTTGGATGAAAGTACTAGCAATGCTCAAGAAAGTATACTGGCAATATTGGTGCAGTTTTATGACAACAATCAAAATGAAGTTGTAGTTCATCATTTTGCATCTCTAAAGATGGAATCTTGCAATTCAGAAGCTGTTTTTAAAGCAGTTGTTAATACTATTGAAGATAATAATATTCCATGGGCAAACTTAATTAGTGTATTAATGGACTCATGTAACACCATGCGTGGAAAAAAAAAAGGGTGTTGAAACCAGACTACGATCAAACAAAGCACCCCACTTATTAGATATTGATGGTGACACATGTCACACAGCTAATAACTGTGCAAAAAAATTTGCTTCATGTTTTGATAGATACTTAGAAGATTTGTTTGATGACATCTATTTTGATATGAAAAGCTGCAGTAAAAGAGAAAATTTTTTCAAAATCTGTGAATCCCTTGCCATTAAAAAACTTAAGCCCTTGAAGAGACCAGACCATAGGTGGGTGTACATTTTATGTGTTTTAGAAAGAATCAAAGATCTGTGGGATGCTCTTATTGCATTTTATTTTCACTACTTGGATAAAACTGATAAAGGGGATTATTTTTCTTATGTTGAAACTGTATACAATAAAAGAAATATTTCTGCAGCTCAGAAAAAAATTGTTGAAGGGGTGTATTCTTGCTTGCATTCCCAACAACTCACAAAGGATGCTTTAGCTCGGAAAAAAAGAATACTAAATGGGTTATTTGTTATGCAAAACAAAACTTTATTGCATATGGCATTATATTCAGCAGTATTACCAGAGTTCAACACATATATTAAATTATTTGAAACAAAAAAAAAAAAAAAAAACAATGCTTCATTTAATACATTCCAGTATTTATAAATTGATGGCAAAATTTTTCTCTTTTTTTATGAAGAAGCCAGAAAATATAGAGTGCA